CCCTATCACTAAGCTAGGAGTTGACGTAGTCCAGTCCTGTAGCAGCATCTTACATTTTGCAGGGGCGAATCGCATGCCAAACATACGAAGATTGCTGCTCAAGGTGTTCAGAAGACTCTGCATTTTGTCAGCATCCTCCCCTAACAGGACTATGTCATCTGCATATTCTAAGTCCATAAGACTATTCCCTGGTAACAAGTCGATTCCTAAGTCGTTACGTTCAGTTAAGGATACTTCCATCAGCATATCTATGATGAAGTTAAACAGAAATGGGGAAAGTGGACATCCCTGTCGGACACCACTGGTTGTTACCAATTCAGATGACAATTCCCCATAAGCCCTTACACGACTACGTGAGTTTGAATAGAGTGCCTTGATTAGTGCAATGTACTTTCTTGGCACTCCCTTCACAGTCAGACATTGCCATAGTACCTTTCGATCCACGGAGTCGAAGGCCGCCTTCAAGTCAAGAAATATGGCAATTGTTGGACGCCGAAAAGTGTGTCTATGTTCTAGAATCTGTCGAAGAGTGAAGATATGATCTATGCACCCTCTACCTGGTCTAAAGCCTGCTTGATTTTCCCTTGTCTGTTCCTCCCGAGTTCTGCTTAGTCTATGCATGATTACTGAGCCTAGGATTTTAGAGACTATGTTCGTTAGGCTGATCCCCCTATGATTATCACACGAGGACTTGTTTCCCTTCTTGAATATCGGTATAATAAGTGACTTACCCCAGTCTGATGGAACTGTCTCTGATTCCCAGACTTTGCCTAGTACCTCAGTTAATCTACAAACTAGTATGTCACCCCCATATTTAAACACCTCCGGAATAATTCCGTCGGGTCCTGCCGCTTTGCCTCGTTTCAAATTACAGATAGCTTTTGTGACCTCACTTACAGACGGCGGACCAGTGTCTATATCCCATTCGGGTGTGTGGTGGATGTCGGGGAGGTTCAGTGTGGCTGTAGGCAAGTTAAATTGTTCCTCAAAGTGTTCTTTCCAGCGTTCAAGGCGTCTATCCTGAGAGCTAATTATGGTGCCATTTTTCTCCGAGATTGTTTCACTTATGATTTGCCTTCTCCCACCCGTTTCCCTGATGAGTTTAAAGAGTTGCCTATTGTTCTAGAATAGTCTAGAATAGTCGTCATTAACAACATTGGTGCTTTTAAATACCATTGATTTGTTAAGTAAGATCCATGGAATCACAGTTCACTGAAGATTCATAAATTATAATAAGCATAAAAATGTAATCGCAAATAGAATATCAAATAAAATTTTAAAAATTCCCACAACAAACTGAGGATCATTCGAACCTAGATGACCAAGATAAGGACAACGTCTGAACTAGCTTCTTCTTTTGGATACATACGTAAGGTTTCTTAATGTAGATTTCGATAACTTCAGCAACATGTAGAACATCCTAGACAATTTTAACGATGTTCATCCATCGCGGAAGAAAAAGATTCTACTATTTCATCTTTAGACGTCCTTATGACCAGAAAGTATACATAGAAAACCTACATCAACTGGTCAGTATACTCATTTCTTCAGCTTCGTACCTTTGAAATTCTAACGTAATCTGAAGAAGTGCTTGGTCCACGGAGCAAGAGCAATCTGCTTTGATGAATGTCTTAATGAACGGCCTTAATATTATTGAACAGTTTTTGAGTGAGAACACTTATCCAGAAAAATTCATCAATACGAATATGAATCAAAAATCAAGGCAGGCCAAAGTACCAACAGTTCCGAAAAACACCTTATTCTTAAAACTTCAGTTCCTAGGAGATAACATCAGTGACATATTAACACAATGCTTAAGGAATTCGGTAAAAAGAGCATTCCCTGCTGCTGAATTACTCTGTGTCTTTAAAACCACACAATTTGCTTTCGGGAGTAAAAGATAAACTGTCGAATTTCTCCACTTTTATGTGTATCTACTAGTTTGACTGCGCCTGTGTAGCCAGTTATACAGTGCGTACAATTAACCGTGTTCATCGTCAGATTTCTGAACATCACCCTGCATAGTGGTTAAGTAAAGAACAAACAAAATCCATTTATAGCGCTATTCTATCTCAGTCTGTAGATACAGAACACAAGATTGTCGTTAGCAAGGCTTTCATAATCATTTACTACATACCAACTAATCTTAACTTCATCTTAAGTGTCCGTCTACTACATATTGCTGAGGCTGGCCGTTGGGATCCACATTAAGAAACCTTACTTATGTATCCAGAAGAATAATCTGGTTCAGACATTGTCCTTACCTTGGTCATCTAGGTTCTAATGATCCTCAGTTGGTTGTGGAAATTTCTTTAATCCTATTTGATATTCTATTTGCTATTAAGTTTTTATGCTTATTATAATTTATGAATCTTCAGTGAACTGTAATTCCAATGATCTTACTTAACAAATCGATGGTATTTAAAAACACCAATGTTGTTAAAGATGAATATTCCAGAATATTCTATGTATGCATATATATATATATATATAGGATTGTAGAGCCAGAAGAGGAAATTACCGAAAAGGATATTCTCTGCTGAATTTTTCTTTGTTTTTTCTAGATGTCTGAACAAACAAACAAAACGAGGTAATGACATTTCAACACACATACACACTTCACTCTGTCCTTATGGCAAGTGCTCACAGTGCAGATCGTAGATACCTTTCTTAACCTGTTGCTCTACAAGTAATACTGTGGTGAAAGCTGTCTGCTAGCCAAAATTGATAGACAGCAATTTGCGTCAATGTTTACATCCCAAATCTTGGTCATGAGAAAAGAACAAGAACAAAGACTTTGCGTGGGCGGATACAGATTAGCAGGTATATGATCTGACCTTCAAAAAAACGGCTACAAAAAGATGACAGATTAACTTCCAGTGAGAAAACGACTAATCAGAAAATGCTGCTGTTTCTCTGCTAGTAATAACGAATAATAATAATAATGATCTACATAAAAATCTATAAATACCTCTTGATTTCTTCAATAAACGATTTGTTGACTGGCCCTTATCTTTTGTCATTACAATATTATTTTTGATAGTATACCTTTAAACTCCCATTTAGATATAACCTAAAGTGACCTTTTTGATAAAGAAAACAACTTCTACTGATGTCGAAAGTTCGATCGAAGAGAAATCCAGCTAGGAGAATATTAAGCTTACCAAGGAAAACAAAAACCTTCGACAAAACCATTGGATCGAGTCCCAGTGGCTTAAATGGTCTACGAGCTCGCCTTGTTATCTGGGCTCGAACCCCGGTGGGTGCGTACTGCTGGAGAGTCCAAACTAGGACGAAACAGCTGTCCAGTACTCCCAGGTTCTCCAATGGTTCTCCAGTCATCAATGTCAGCTCATGATGAAATCCTGTAACCAATCAATCAAATCCTTACAAACCAACACTTACAAATATTATTTATTAATGAACGAAAGCCGTAAAAAAGCCTAATCCATTCATTACATGTATGTTCATGTATTCGGCAATGAAATACATTTATTGCATTATAACAAGTAAAAACATATCAACTAGTTAACTGTTCAAATCTAAGAAGGTGACGTGACTATCAAAGCAATAACTTTCAAATTCAAGAGTTCACATCCGCATTATGTTGACAGGAAATTGAGTCCAAAAAGATATCAAAAAACAATGTTGAATACAGATATCTCAGAAGTCTACCGGCGTACTAATCATTTCTGAAGATTGAATATCAACATTCTTGCATAAATTTAAGGTATAAGTGTTGTAACGATTACTTTATATGCTACATTGTAAATCTGCTTTCAATATATTTCCATCAAGAATTGCAATATTAACTCATATGCATACATTTAAATGCTTTAAATCCTGTTAGTTGAAATCAACATCAATCAGTGAATGAATGGTAAGAGTAAAAAAATAGACACCAGTCAAACGACCTTTAGACAACCAATCAGATCGCTCAGAATTACAGAATGGATACTTTTCACAATCTTCGTTGCAAGTCTCGTCCTGATTCAGCATTAAGGTTAGAGTAAGTTTAAGGTGGAGTTATGATTATAGTTAAGATGAAACTTGCAACGGAGATTATAAAAAGCATCCATTTGTAACGCCTGGAGATCTGATTGGTCCGTTCAAGGTCATTTGACTCTGGCCTCCATCCTGTACTGTTGCTTAGTGGATGAGATTCAAAACGTATGGATTTCTTTGTCGATAGTTGGTTTGTGAGGATTAGTTTTGTTTTTACGAGTTGATCACTGATTGATATCAGTTAGAGAACCATTGAAAACCAGTCACAGGCAGTACTGGACAGCTGTTTCATCCTGGTTTTTGGGGAATCATCAACAGCACGCACCAACTGGAGTTCGAACCCAGGACCTTCCGGTTACAAGGCGAGCGAGTTTGTAAGCCATTCAGCGACTGGGACCTGACTCAATGGCCAGTCCATGAATTCTAACCTCCACCAATTCGTCATTTAGCGTGACCAGCAACCAATGCACAACTCGTAAAAACAAAAATTAATCTGATGCTCGCTGTTAAGTGACTGGCTACAGGACGGAGTTTCCTGGAGTTCTAGTGAGAAGTCGTGACCAGTGAGGTCCATCCAGGTGTCACGTGTGAGGATGAATGTCCCACCTACGACATTGGTTGGTGGTCGCGCTAAACCCCGAATCCATAGGAGTTAGAATTCATGGGCTGGCTGGCCACTGAATCGGGTCCCAGTGGCTAATGAATGGTATACGAGCTAGCTTGTCTTGTAACCGGAAGGTCCTGGGTTCCAAACCAAAAAATAGACTAGGATGAAACAGCTGTCCAGTACTCCCTGGTCTTCAATGCTTCTCTAACTGATATTAATCCGTGATCAACTCGTATGGATTTCTTTTAAAAACCAACTACTAATGCGCAGGAATTCAGATCCACCTTAACACACACATACACAAAACAATTTTATGAAATTTACAGCAATACAATCTTTCAACAACAACAAAAAAAAGATCCATCGGGAATTATGCTCAATAACTTACCAGTTTTTTCAACGTGTTTTGTTAGCGTACAAAATGATTGTAAGGATGAATTAAATCCAGTTGTTATACTATTCATCTGTACGGGATCTTTACACTGTCGCCTTATCTCATTTCCATTACTCAAACCATTATTATAATTATGATGATGATGATGGGTGTTTTCTGTACCAGATGTTATAAAATGCATACTTGTTGTCACTGATGTCGGCGTTGCTGCTGCTGCTGCTGATAATGATGATGATGAGACTGGTAATGCTTTACTTGTTATTACTGAATGATTTGATTGATTTATCAAAGATAATAAATCAATATTTTTTTGAAGTGTAGATGATAATTGATTAGGCAATATAGTGGAGGATGTAGAAGAGGGAATGAATGTTGAACAGGCTGAATAGTCTGTTGAATTTGTAGCAATAGTTAAAGGTGAAGTGAATAATTGTCTTATGCAATTGTTAACATCAACAACACTGTTGTTATGATTATGGTTATTGTTCTCATCATCGTAAGTAGCAATAACAGCATCCAATTCGTCTAAAGAACACCGAACTTCTTCACTGCTGTTTATAACAAATAAACATTAAAAAAAATTTTTTTTTAATATATGTGATTTATTATCAATATTGTGAAATCGACTGAAGTGTGTTAGGGAAATTGTCGTTTTCAAAAATAAATGAAACTATTTTTCAGAAGAAAATAACAACAGTCTAATTTTTATCAAAAAAAAAACGGAGAATCACTTTTTTAAGGACACAAGCATTCAGCGAAGAGACTCTTTTCAACAACGAATTTATTATCAAGCTGTACAATCGTATATATATATATATATGGGTATTTTTTAAGAAATTATATCCGGTGAGGGAATTAGGTCATAGGTGTGAATACATGAAATAATAATAACAGTGGTAGTATGAAATGCAATTAAAATATTTGTGATTACAATCATGGTTTAATGTCAAGTGGCAAAACAATTAATGTCATATACAGAATATGTGCGTACTGATGAGGAGTCCCAGTCTAGGACGAAACAGCTGTCCAGTACTCCCAGGTTTTTCAGTGGTTTTCTAACTGATGTCAGCTCATGATTGAATCTTCGATACAATCAAACAAAATCCCTACAAAACCAATACTTGAAAATTAGTCTGATGCTCACTAGCAACTGGCCCTATTCAGGCAGTTAACCTGGGGTTCTAGTGGGAATCCGTGACCAGTAGGGTACAGCAGGTCGAAGATGAGGTAGTAACTCATCGAAGAAGACATTGCGAAGTGGTTGCGCTATGTCGTGAATTGACAGAAGTTAGAATTCAAGAACCATTGGCTCAATGGTCTACGAGCTCGCCTTGTGACCAGAAGGTCCTGGGTTCGAACCTCGCAGTGTGGGTGCGTACTGCTGAGGAGTGCCAATCTAGGACGAAACAGCTGTCCAATACTCCCAGGTTTTCCAGTGGTTCTCTAACTGATGTCAGCTCATGATTAAATTCTCCATGCAATATATAGAATAATACATAAGGTGTATAGATTTTAGAAAGGTGTACATAATTTTAGGATTAGTAGACGAATATAAAATGTTACATAACATGGTGTGAAATTCGATAAGATAAAATTCAATATTGTAAAAATAAAAATTAATAGTTTTGGGTTTAAAATGACAAGTGGGTCAAGTGGAAAAGATTCAGAGTGAGAATAGTAATAATAATAATAACAATCGAAGAACTAAGGTAAAAGTACATAGAACAACTAAATAAACAAAATAAATAAATGTCTATCCCTCTACGGCCAAGGCAGAAGTAGGGATTATACATACTTCTTTTGTACACAAAGATCTGGCTGGCTTAAAGTCATGGATTGCCAAGGCCCTAGCTGTCTTTAGAAGTCTATAACGAAGAAAACGCAGAAAGTTAGCATGGATTCTATATATGATCTTGAAATCATGGTCAGGGTTGACTGAGTGACAGAAATCGATCAGGTGGTTCCACTTGACCCACTTGCCATTTTAAACCCAAAATTTTTATATTTTTATTTTTACAATATTGAATTCTATCTTATCAAATTTCACACCATGTTATGTAACGACGTTTTATATTCGCCAACTAATCCTATAATTATTCACCCCTTTCCAAAATCTATACACCTTATGTATTATTCTATATATGACATTAATTATTTTGCCACTTGACATTAAACCATGTTTATAATCACAAATATTTTAATTGCATTTCATACTACCACTGTTATTATTATTTCATGTATTCACACTTTTGATCTAATTCCCTCACCAGATATAATTTCTTAAAAAAAACCATGGATACATATACGATTGTACAGCTTGATAATAAATTCGTTGTTGAAAAGAGTCTCTTCGCTGAATGCTTGTGTTCTTGATGCTATAATGGGAATTATTAAATTACTGAAAAAAAACCACTTTTTTGCTTCTTTATTTATTTATTAAAAAAAAACAACAGGAACATACTACAAAACTGTAGAATCTTTTAATCAATATGAGAGATAATAATTTCGATAGGACGAACACGCATAGTGCAATGTGACATGGGAGTGTAAGTTAGTTAATTAGTAGTGGTTGCAAATATACTTACATTACCTAATAAACAATAATAATACTCTAATACTTTGTCCCATTAGAAACCGTTCAAACTCTAGACTAACTAACTAATTCATATGAGATGAAGAGTAAACTAAATGACATTCAGCTAGAGAATGATGAAAAAATGGTTAGTTTTGATATAACTAGTCTTTACACTAATATACCAGTCATTATGGCCTTAGAAGCAGTTAAAAAAGAACTAACTGTGAATCATGAACTGAATCATAGGACAAAGCTACCCATTGAACAAATTATGTTAGGGATTCAGTTATGCCTCACGTCTACTATCTTTAAATTCCAAGGTAAAACATATAGACAAACAGAAGGTGTAGCAATGGGATCACCAATATCCCCTATTGTAGCAGACATATGTATGGACAGCTGGGAAAGTAGTGCTCTTAATACGTTTAATCCTACTCCAAAAATATGGTGGAGATGTGTGGATGACACTTTCACGGTGTTAAAAACAGAACATATCTCTAGCTTCTTGACACACATAAACTCACAAGTTGAGGGAATAAAATTCACATTTGAATCAGAAAATGAACTAGGAGAATTAGCTATGTTAGATTGTAAGATAAAACGAATAGAAGGCAGACTTCACACTAGTGTTTATAGAAAACCAACGCATTCTAACAGATATTTAGACTTTAATTCGTCTCATCCGTTAACTGTTAAGGCAGGGTTAGTTAAGTGTCTAACAAACCGAGTCATAGCACTAAGTAGCACAAAAAAGACCTAAATGACGAAGTAAAACAGATAGAAGAAGCGTTGGTGTTGAATAAATATCCTATAAAATTCATTAGAAAGATCAGTAAAGACCAAAAGCAATATAAAAATAATGATGAAACCATTAATGAGAACAAAAATAAGAAAGAATATAAGTCATCCACTGTTACGCCTTATAAGGAAGGGACATCTGAGGCCCTTCGTAGGATTCTTAATAAAGCAGGAATTAGGGTGGCATTGAAACCTACAAACTCACTAAGAGACAAGCTCTGTAGGCTAAAAGACCCGGTGGACCCAATTAAACAAAATAACATAATTTACAAAATACCTTGAAATGACTGTGAGGTCAACTACATAGGTCAAACTAGTAGGTCGGGGATAGTCAGATTATCAGAACATAAGAATTTAGCTAAGGAAAGAATGGTTGACCCTGAAAAGATAAGTAATTTAGAAAAAAGTTGAGCTATTGCACTTCACGCATTGTCTGTCTGTCTGGATTCAACATAGAACTTGGCACCGAAGTGCAGCAGTTCGAGTTGCCACGTTCCAAATAGCCCACAGAGGTAGACAAGAAGATGAGTGAAGAGAATTAATAGAGTTTGACAAGTATAAGAGTGAAACAGAATGGGTAATGGTAGAAAGGAATATGAAAGATTACAGAGACTGAATACATCTGCGCCATTGACGAACACACACACCACACAATAGGGTGGGATAGGGTTAAAATTCTAAAAAATAATATAGGTAGGTGGAGAGAGAGGTTGATTACGGAATCCACCCAACACATGCAACAGAAATGACTCAATGCAAGTACCAGAAATATGGAAGATATTATTACCACCGGTCAAATCAGAAGAGGATAATAAATAATATTAAAATTCTATTTCAATTCAAACACAACATTCTAACAAGTAGCTTATTATGACTAAAAAAACACTCGTCCTTTTTCCCATATAACTGCAATTGATCAACAACACTCGTACTATTATTTCTGAATGTACATTATCTCACATTGATTTTTAATCCAATATCTAGTCGATTCCACACATGTATATAAATGAAAGAACAAAGTTGTGTGAGTAACTTGATATGATTATGAGCAATAGTTTGTGCTTGAAACGTGGTCATCAGTTAATATAACTGTACAACACTGTGTGTGACTTATCAAAATAAAATCTTAGCCATAATGGAGTTATACTCTACGAACACAGGCCCAAGTTTTATACTTATATCAATAATAACAATACATAAATTATTTCTATTGGGTACTAGTGTTAGTCACTAGTCTCATATGGCCACACATAACAAAACTGATTGACGATAGAATTCATTCAGTCTGCACTAAACAAAGGGGGAATAAGATACATTACACTAGTTACTAACTAGTGTTCAGTCAAAGGATCCAATACAGTAATCCTATTGAAGGTGGATCGTGAGCCCGGACAACTCCTCAGTGGTAACGCCTATGACTGCAGGCAGCACAGCGTTCGAATCTCAGAAAGAGGGACATGAGTTCCTTCTAGGTGATTGCGGATAACTCTTGCTCACTGACTGACTGGTGAATGCCATTAAACACGAAACCTAGCTAGGCCTAAGGTTTCCTGTGGTCGATTTTCTCCAATCATCTGATAAGTGTGATACAAATTAGGGAACTATGATTCCTAAGAAATATATACATTTTCATGATAAAGGGGTAGAAATATCTTTTTCTCTTGCTTCCACAAACTACCTGATATAATCGAAGGTGGGTAGACTTCGGTCTACTTTGTGAAATAATGCTCTCCTCTCATGCGGTCACATATTCATGGCCTTTGTCACATAAGTCGTATTCACTGTATTCATGCATCCAGGGAAAGAGGGGTTTCTCATAAAAGTAAAAGGTTGAATACATTTAAAATTGGACTGGTGGACATACACGTACAAAAGAAACACATGTGAGAGGGATGATGATAGTGAATTAATTATCAAAGTAAAAGTAAAATTAGAAAATAAAAATATTTCCAGAGAACAACTAATGAAGAGGTTAAGACCATGCTAGTCTCTTCAAAACCACACATTTTGCTTCCTGTCTAATTTCTCCACTTTTATGTGTATCTACTAGTTTGACTGCTCCTGTGTAGTCAGTTGTACAGGGCATACAATTAAGCGTATTTATCGTCGGATTTCCGAATATCACCATGCGTGGTTAAGTAAAGGACAAACAAAATCCATTCATAGCGCTATTCTATCTCAACTTGAAGTTACACAAAACAGACTGATGTTAGCAAGGCTTTCATAATCATTTACCGTATACCAACTAATCTCAACTTCACCTCAAGGAATTAGTCTGTTGCATATTGGTCTCGAGTTATCGAAATCCACACTGAGAAGTCTACCTTATGTATCCAAAAGAAGAAGTTGGTTTAGACGTTTTCCTGGCTTTGGTCTTTAAGGCTTTAATGATCCTCAATTTGTCGTATAAATTCCTTTAACTTTATCTGATATTCTAATTATTAATATATACTTATTATTATGCTTATTATAACTAATGCATCCTTTTTGAAATGCAATTCCACTGATCTTGCTTAACAAATCGATATTATTTCAGAATAAAAACATCAATATTGTTAATGACGATTATTATAGAATATTTATATATTGTTGCGAACAATATAGTTTTCAATTAGATCTCATCAGGCTTAACTCTAATATATATAAGTTTGCAAATAAAACTCAAATATAAACCAATCATGGTGTTTTGTCTATAGGATAATAAGATGGTGAACATAAATTGTGCAGTTAGTCATAATAGTAGTAGTGATAGTAATAACAGTAATAATAATGGTCTTATCAATAATAAGGATGAAAAAGTGAGGCAATCTGTGATAACACGAATAATGAAAAAACAGCATGATTAAAGAAGCAAATGTTCATGTGGACGTAGTAGTTGATAAAGGCTAGTAAAAAATCAATGAACCGATTAAGTAATGCTAGATTGTAAGGGAAGTAAATGAAACACGTTTCTAATGAAGATGTGATGAGATTCAGAAATGATAAGAAAGGGGTTGAACATATAAGTAAGGGGTGACGTAGAAGTCATTAGCTGGTTATGTCTTAATAGGCCAAGGGAGAGATAATACCTGTACGAACTTTTTTGAATGAGCATAGTTTAGGTTTAATAGTTCGAATGCCTATCGCCTCAGCTGTGTGCAGTAGACGAATACGAAGTCTATTTGAAAGATTCGGTGGGATACGATGAATTACTTTGAAAGCTGTTGTTTTCTCCACTACATGACCACTATCAATTAGATGTGATAAAATTGAGCTACGGATTGTTTTTGTCTGTCCTTTGCCAAACCATCACGATGGGAGATGTTCACTAACACGTTGGCTAAGCTGTCTAGTAGTACGCCCAACATAACTGTCACCGCAGGTGCAGTTGAACTGATAAATGCCCATATATGTGGCAAAACTATCAAGCTTATCGTTCGTTTGCGTCCCAATCATTCGTCGGCTAGAGAATGACAAACATCGGTATGCTGCGTAAAATGTTCTACGTATACTCCTGGAAAGTCTCTGGAACAAAGTCTCACTAGATAAGTCACCATTAAATTGTAACTTAATAAATAGAGGATCTTACGTGCAGTCATAGTCTCAGGTTTTCTGTCTTATGTTTTCGTGTTTCTTTATGAAAGTACTCGGATGGCCCACCTCCATCAAAGAATCGTGAATATATTCGAATTCATTTTGTAAGAGGTCATCCGTAAATATCTTTCTTACTCTGCTTCTAAGACCTTAAACAACATTTCTTTTATATTATTATTATCGAAAAAGTATACATAATACAAAGAAATGAACCATTATACAACGATAATTCATTAAACATCTGAGTAGTATAGAAGGACAGATTTCTAATATGATGGAGGCTGATACAAAATGTTTACAGTCGTGTGGGTACAGTAGGCTGTCAAAAACACTATCAAATGTTGTGAACGGTTTGTAGCTATTGTCATTAAAAACCATCCAACCATTGATTGTTCAAGGCTCGAAGACATTAATCCGACAACTTACATCAATTCACCTGACTTGAAATAAAGGTTACAGACATTAAACTACCAACTCATACTATGCCTTAGTTCAAATATTCCTAATGTTGATGTATGTGCAAAACTTGGGCACTGTGGTAGTAAGTAATTCCATATTCGTTTGTTTATTAGATGTATTACACAATCTGTGAAACAGTATTATGTCATGGATGACATTTCGACCTATAGTTGGTTTTAGAAATTCACCAACTCATGAATTGTCTAAATATTTAGCCATGGTATTAAATCCCCTTGTAAAACCACTCAATATCTGAACCAACAGATTCCTCTAAACTAAAACATAAATTAAATAATTTTAAATTAGATAATGAAGAAAAAATGGTTAGTTCTGATATTGCAGTTTATATACACGTACACCAGTAAATATGGCTATAGAGGCAGTCAGAAACGAACCTATTTCTGACCAGGAACAAGAACTTAGGTGCCACTTGAGGACGTAATGTTGGGAGTGCAGCTATCCCTGACTTCCACAGTATTTAAATTCCAAGGAAAAATATACAAACAAACTGAACGAGTTGTCATGGGGTCATCAATATCCCCCGTTGTGGCAGGTACATTCATGGATAAGTGGGAGAAGTTAGCGATTGAAACGTTCACCCCCACACCAAAAGTATGGTGGAGGTATGTAGATAACACATTCACTGCACTTAAAACACAGGATATAGATAGATTTTTTGAACACATTAACTCAAAGGTGGAGGGAATTCAATTCAATCATGATTTGAAAAGTCAGGAACTCAAGGAGCTTCCAATGTTAGATTGTAGCGTAAAAAAGGAAGGAAGATAGGAAGTTAAACAGTATTGTTTTCAGGAAACCCACACATTCAAACAGATAATTGGACTTCCGATCATCCCATCCTGTGTCAGTAAAAATAGGATTGGTGAAATGCTTACGTGACAGAGCACGAAAACTAAGTAGTACCAAGGAAAATCTAGGACAGAAAGTGAGACATATAAGAGTAGCTCTGAAACTTAATAATTACCCTGATTAAATAGTCAGAAAGTATGTAGGGAAAGGGAAAAGTAAAATAAATAATGACAGTAATGATGGTGATAATAATAGTAATATTAATGACAATATGCATGTCAAATATGCGCAAGACAATACCAACAATAAGGAATCTAAATCATCGGTAGTAATTCCATACAAGGAAGGAACCTCGGAAATCAAACGGAGAATTCTCGACAAGGCAGGAATAAAAGTGGCCGTCTTTCAAGCCACCCACAAAATCAATTAGAAACAAGCTTTGTCAGTTGAAGGATCAATCCTGTGGAGCCTTTAAAACGAAACAATTTAGTTTATCTAATACCCCATCTCCAAACATTATCAGGTCAAAGTAGTAGAACAGGGGCAGTCAGTCAGACTAGCCGAGCATAAAAACCTAGCAGCAAAATCTAGATTGGTTGACCCGAATAAGATAAGAAATGTAGAGAGAATAGTTCAGCTACACCACTCGCTACATGCAATTGCACACAACCATACAATAGGATGGGATAAGATGGCAGATTAAAATCTAATGTCACAAGGTGTAGGGGAGATTAATAACAACGGAAGATTTGTTTATCGGATCAACCGCAAATACGTGTAATAGGAATGATTCAACACTTCTCCAACCGGATATCTGGAAAGTTTTACTACCCCAGCAACGACAAATAGGAGAGAAAAAAGAAGACTATAAAACTCGAAGTCGTGTGATTACAATTAATGATATGATTATGAACAATAATAAACTGCATTCGAAACCTCGTCATCCAGACTGTGTGATGCATTTAATAAGCAAACTAATATGGAATCCCTAATGTTGCCATAGCTTAATTAATACCCTTTTAGTGAAAAATACTTCCCTAGGAAGGTAGTGATACATACACAGGGAGGACATTATGATTCAGCTACCCAAATAAGATAATTGAGACACAATTTAAACTTCAATCAACATATAAAGCATAATAAACAACTACTCGTTAATATTGCATGAAATCAGTGTAAAACATACCACACCTTTGTGTTCTGATGACCTGCCGCCAACAGGTTTGTCATTTGGTATAAAGTTGAAGTGTACCATATATATATATATATATATATATACCCAGAAGTGTACCAATAAGAATTGCTGATCACCTTAAAAACTCTAGTGACATTAAATATTTCCAGTGTCATGATAAATAAGGCTACAAGAAGGTGAGTGTATACTTCTAGCCTAAACTTACTTTCAAGTATACAGAAATGTATACACTACTAAAATGGCATATCTCAGCATTATCTTTGTCATCATCATCATTATAACCATCAAGTGTATTTATATTCGACAATAAGTGAAATCAAGCTAAGCTTGCCTCTCTCTCTCCCTCTATCTGCACAAATGTGTGTGTATGTGCACGTACACTTGATGTCTCCTAGACTAGATAGTTATCTCATAATAGTAAGAGACAAACAAAATGAAAAATCAAATAGATGAACAGGTAGACACACACACACATAAATAATTCACATTTATTTATTTTTTTGTTCTTTCGTTTATTTCTGTTTTATTTTGCTTTATAAGTCTAGAAAGTATTATATTTCCACTTATTATTATTATTATTTAATGCTTCATGTTGTTAATATTAGGTGACTTTATTTTCACTTTCACAAATTCTTGATTGTGTATAAACACACATGCACACACACACACACAAATACACTAAACAGCACTATCTATTTCTGCCTAACCAAGAATACCATCATCAGTGAAATTTACTCAACACAGGATAGAATATTTTCAGTGTGTACTCAAGTTACAATTCCTGAAAACCAAAAACAATAGTCACTTTTATTGGCATTCTGTTTCGGGTAGGATGTATTTGCATAACAGACTATTTATTACCTTGGTGATATCAGTAGTGTAAAACGTTAAAACATAAATTTTAAGTAGATCTTTAAGCACATTTTATCAATCCGGCAACCTAATGAACTGCAGAATTAGCTTTATATATATATATCGTGAAATGGATTTATTTAGTTATATACGAGACATACTCAGCATCGTGTATGTATGAAAATGACTATGTAACTGCGCTACAGAGAAAAAAAACAGAAATATTTGCATTTGGAGGAAGTGATACAATCAACTAAAGTAAAAAGCCGAGTTATCACAGCGAGGGAATATGCACTACAGCTTCTTATTCAATGGACAAGTCACCTTCTAACACTTTCACAGCAATGACTTCTACGAAATTAGAGAGACTTTAATTTCCTTTGTTTAATGGATCTAAGAGATTATCAGAAGTGGACGCATTAGTGCAACTACCAACCATGTTCAGTTATGTCACATATGGTATCAAAAACATTTTGAGGACTACAATCAGACAATCTATATCTCATTACGTGACTCAAACCACTGGTCAAAGGCTCACAGCATTGATGTCACGTTTCGACTGCACCACAACTCTAACCCTCTTCCAATCTAATCTTGTGTCGGCTAACATTGCTCGACAGGGAAGATGACGGCCTCGAATGTGTAACACGTGTCCCATCCATCTCCATTGATGCAGCTTCACAACTTTAGCAATTGACTTGCCTCTCTCTCACACCTAACCTCAATATAACTCACAATATTATGCCATTTAACACGGGAAACAGGACTCAAACAATTATGACTGCACAGATGATCTTTTCATATCCTCTTCTTTCAACGGTTCTGTTCCACAGTCACGGAGAGAGAAAAAGCGAACAGTTGAACAGTACATACTTTTGTCGATAGCCAGGTATCACCTCTACACCAGGGATCACTTTATTTAACAAATTCACACAAGCCCTCCGTATCCATGCTGAGATTTCGTCAGCAATCACTACATTAATACTGATGCAACTTCTCGAATAAATCTAGTGGTCAACACACCCAACCACTTTACTTCCTATCTTTAAACTAAGAGTCAACGCAAAACACTCCCATAGAATCATCTTACATTTCACAGAAGTGAATCGTATGTCAAACATACTAAGATTTCTGCTCAACGTGTGCAGAAGACTCCGCACATCGTCACCAGATTCACCTACAAGGACAGTATCATCTGCATACTATAAAGACATGAAACTGCTCCTTGCTACAAGTCGCTAAAGTCAATCACGGTCACACTTATCAGTACATATACGATGAAATTAAACAAAAATGGAGACACTGGGCGTTCCTGACGGATATCACTGGTCATCAGATGACAACTCTTCGTATGCTCTTGCACGGCTGTGTGATTCCCCCACCACCACCACCAATAGAATGCCTTCATTACTGTAGTGTTCTTTCTTGCCACTTTCTTCACCAACAGACATTGCCACGGCACCTTTCATTCAACAGAATAGAATGTCGTCTTCATGTGAAGAAGTGGAAAGTGTTGGAGGCCAGCGAGTATGCCTATGTTCCAGAATTTATCGAAGGCTGAAAATAAAACCAATACTTCACCGTCCGGACGTAAAGCCTGCTTATTCCGCTCAGTTTGCTTCGCTTGAGCAACGCACAGTCTACGCGGGATTCGCGCACCTAGAATTTTAGATACTGTTAGTCAAGCCAATTTCCACCACCAATCCACCTTTCAACCTCGATTGTCACTGGGACAATCAAGAATTTACACCAGCCCATAGAAACCGGCTAACTAACTGAGTTTCAACACAGAACTTTGCGCAGAAGTGCACTAGTTTAAGTTACACATTCCATGCAAAATAGAAAGGTAGGGAAAAAAGAAAAACAGGTTCAAAAGAACTATAACGAATAGAAATGTGCGGGAGAAAGAACAGTAACATGGAAAAATATGACGGTTCAGTGGATGTGGGAGATAACAAAGGCTGAATACATCAGCGCCATTAAGAGCTACTTTGACGAACCTAACCAGTCTAACGAGACTGTCTCGGATTCCCACACACTGCTTAATATCTTAGTTAACCCGGTGCATAGTTCATCACCATCTTTAAACACCTCTGGAGTCATATCAGCTTTCGCATTTCAGACTAGAAATCAATGTATGAATCTGCTCCACAGCAAGTTCAAAATAATGAAAGCATGCAATCGATCAAATATCCGTAACTATATCATCTATTCTCATATCTAATTGGTGGATGGTGGCTAGCAGTGGAATCCAGGATGCGCATTTCGTTCTCATATCTATTTCCCAATATATATATATATATATATATATATATATATATATATATATAAACATACGCATGCAAAACTTCAGTGACTCTAAAAGTTAAGTAACTGTCGAATAAATTTAAAAACTCACGATCGCTGAGAAATTTCGATTTATTTCGCAGTAACATTCGGTAATTTTAATGCGGAACAAAATCATTTAGTATAAATAACTGAAAGCTTACCGGTGTAACAATAACAACAATCTAAGTCTAAAGAGAACTTCGCCATCTGAATAAGATGATATGATGATAATCATTCCCGATAGTTATTGTACCAGTGTACTTCCACCTGCTTAATAATACAGGACTACACAAACGACTTCATGATTTGTGAGTAGCTACAAACATCTAGAAATGCGGACAAGAGATGAAAGTTATTATACACTGGTCGGTAGGATTTGATGATGAAGGCACTCATGGAGAAAGAATAATTGTTCTCTGGCAAGGATCCGCCAGAGAAAGTTATTATTTTTGATAATAGCCATAATGCTGAATGCCAAGTAATCCACAACGGGAAACTCACGGAACACTTCGAAATGAAAACAGGAGTAAGACAGTGAGCCTCCAGTGATTTTCCTGATTGCGGTAGACTAGATAATATGACAGACGACGGAAAACGAGGAGACAGGCACAAAATTGACCCACACAAAAATCTTGGAGGATCCGGATTTCGCCGATGACATCTATATGTCTGATTTCCCACAAACTGGAGGATACGCAAATGAAAAGCAACAAGTTCGCAGAAGAAACATCAAAGATAGGACCTACTTCAGATGAGCAGAGAGAACAGAGGTGACGAAGATTCCTGGCCAACAGCGACAACAACAATCAGCCAGCATATATGGGAGGAATCTGAAAGAAACACAGCCCTTACCTAACTGCCTACCTAACTACCTGGGACGCATCGTCGTTTCAACTACAGGCAGACGGAACTGATGGGGGTATCAAAACAACGAGGATCATCGAGAAAGCAAGGCAAGCTTTCGTTACTCTCAAGTCTGTGTGGAGGTCAACAGCACTCAGCATGAAAAGTAACATCCGGATTTTCAACGCCAATGTGCAGTCAGTGCTACTCACTATGCGAATCAGAGACTTGGTGCCGCGCCGCGTCACAAAGGGAACTTCAAGCAAACTACACACCTTCATCAACACCTATCTTCGCTCAAGATCAGAGGGCCGGCCAGAAAATATTAGCAACAAGGATCTCTCTCTGGCAACGAAACAACCCAGCAGGAACCAATTGCGCAACAAATATGCAAGAAGAAATGGAGGTGGATTGGCTGGTCATACTCTGAGAAAACAAACCATCAAGCGACATCACACATCAGGCCATCACTCGAGTGGAACTCGAATGGGAAGCGGCGAGTTGGTCGTTAGTGCGATGGTGACATGGAGGAGGCCAAGTGAAGAGGAGATGAGAGCATGTGGGTAGATGTGGAGCTAGGTGGAAACGTCGGCGGAGAACCGAGATTCAGATTTGAATCTGAAATCTAATATGGTGTAATATTACACCTCATATGAGGAGTAAGCCTACTATCGTTCACCAGTAAAAAGTACCTCACATCTCGAAATGTACGTAAACACAATCAGAAACACCTGTATTTTACACACTAGGACTTTGAAACTTACCCAAAAGAACCTAGTGAAGGATGAGGTGAGTGGTGTTGGCAATCCGTTGTAGTATTAGAATTAAGTGTGTTGAGGGGTGTACCACTAAAGAATGCCTCCTCTTCAAACATCAGGTGGGTAATTTCACAAGGATTTTCCAACCTATTCATTATTATTTTCCGAACTTTTGCATACACTGGCCGCCTGGGAATTACAACCGGACCTAGTGCTGGCTGACCTTCAGAAATCAGAAGTCGCGCTAATGACAGATATTCCGGTTAAGGACTATTACAAACTGATTACACCTTTTATTATTGCTTTATGGTGATAAAAATAGGTTTTAAATATATTAAAACTCTTTAGACTTTGACATCGATAAATGAACTACAACAGTGGAGATTAATGGTAGTATTAGACACGTGAGAATTACATGTATTAATAACGCCATACAATCATGAGCAGTCACTCCTTGAGAAATAAGCCCTATGAAGCGACCATAGAATTCCGCCTCAGCTTATTC